TGAACATTTTGCGCTATTTTTCTACGTAGATGACGCAGAGACATTTTATTAAATAAAAAACAACTGACCAAAAAAAAGGAAAATGCTTGGAATAACTAGGTAACCTAAAAAATACGTATAAAAATAAAAGAAACAAAAGTAAGGTTATGTTTTGAAGTTTCTATAATCATTTAACACACTGTACGTACTTATAAAACAGTAGTTGTGGTAAAATGCAACAAATATTAAAGGAGTAGCTAAATTATAACATTAATAGAAACTTACCTATGCTTTAAATTAATATCATGAAAGCCAGGACGCCAAACCAACATGCAACAAAACGTGAACATAAATGAAAATAGACGAACCGATGAACCTGCTCCCACAAACCATTCCCTACACTGAACAATAATACTACACATACGCATGAGTAGAAATGAGAAAAGACCGTACCACTAGTACGTCATCCTCCATCCGCCATCTAAAAATAGTTCCATGTGTATGGGGAATTTGTTATAAATATTACAGGTAATATAATTAAAAAAATATGGATGTAATGTAAATAAATATATCTATAAGCTTTTAATTTAAATAAACGTAAATATATACATATTATTTACTTCTGTCCTAGTTCATCGTAAACTGGTATTATGCGTTTAAGGTGACTTATATTTAAACGTAGAATAATATAGGTATATTAACTAGTATCGACAAACAAAAGCGTTTAATTTATATGTTAAAAAACGTTAAGTATAAAAATGGTAGATGGCAAACGTTTAAAAAATCAACCAAGACGAAATTTAAACGGGAATTATAAACGAAGAAAAAATATTGTAATATAATGTAAATTTATACGAATTTAATTTAAACGTATATTTAGGCCCACTGTATATAAATAGTTCATCGCAAACTAAAAATAGTCGTATATTGTTAACTATATTTAAACGTAGAACAATTTACAATTATATACAGGATGTATATAAAAAAGTATAATATATCGTTTAAAATACGGTATGTATAATAATCGTAAACTGTAAACGTATACGGAATCAACCAATACCAAAATTAAACGAGTATTATGTATAAAATACGTTAGTTATACTAATGTGTGCTGCCTGGGGTACGATAAAAAATATTTTTTACCAAACAATTTTTCATCAAAGAAATTGTAACTTCTACATAATATTGGCATTTTCTCGTTGGTAAATGTATTTATTTACAGTATATATTTATTATACAGTGAGCATCATAAGTCTTACCCCCCCCCCTTACTAACTCGTTACTTGGGTCTTGTTAGGAAAATCGCCGAGACAGGTCGATTTTTTGATTTCTACAATGTACATTTTTGCATGATTAGTTTACTCTTAACGTCATCCCTTACTGGAGGGTTGCAACCCTTTTGAAAAAATTAAATGGCATGGGGTGGTGAGTGATAGCTCATTTGAAAGGGGGTTTTATTCTCTATTCAACCGCGCAAAAAATTTTGAAATTTGCTTCATTACGTGTTGATTCATTAATGTTTAAAAATAACAAAACCTCACAAAATCGGAAAGCAACTAGACTAACAGTGACCTTCTAATGGCAAAAAGTCTTACTTCACGTCTGAACCAAAACCGAAATCATGCAGGGCCAAATTTTAATGATGGGTGCGCTACGTTAATTTCCGTTATTCTGAAACAACAATTAGTCGAGAATTAATGAAGCAAATTTCAAATTTTTTTTACACGGTTGAATAGAGAATAAAACCCTCTTTCAAATGAAGTATCACTCACCACCCCATGTCATTTAAATTTTTCGAAAGAGTTGCTCCCCTCCAGTAAGGGATGAAATTAAGGGTAAACTATTTATACAAAAATGTACATTGTAGAAATCAAAAATCGACGTGTCTCGGCGATTTTCCTAACAAGACTCCAGTAACGAGTTAGATAGGGGGGGTAAGACTTATGGTGCTCACTGTATATTATTAGTACATATAGTTTAACTGCATCCAAATTTATTATTTTCAATATCATATTATAAGCCAAAACGATCTAAATAAAATTAAATCTGATGTACTTCATGTCAGTTCAATGGTTATCAATTCAAATTTACCGCCTACATCTTGTCACACTGCATATATTTTTAAAATGACAACATCGGATCGGGTCACTGCAGACAGCGCCTTCCAATTTTTTGATATATTTATAAATACAGAGTGGACTGTGGTGAACTTTTATACAGAGCAAACATATAAAATATAATTTAGTCAAATAGACTTGATATTGTTTTTTTAATGTCTGTATTTAAATATACAGGGTACGTAGCCACTGATTCATTGTAGAGATTTTGTTTGCCTTGTTGGTTTGGGTTTTATTTAGATTTTAGGTACGTCATTGTTAGATTCAAGTAACCATGGACGTCGATAGGTTATTGTCCGACGAACTGTCATGGGAACTGGCGTTGATGAATTTACCAACGGCAGGAACTCCCCGTGATATGAAAATCCTTCTGCGTGCTGCAATGTGAGGTTAAAAAGCAGGTTTTTCATCGATGCGAGTAAATCTTTCGGTGGACCCACTGACAAAATTTGAGATTTGTGGTAATAAACTAATTGATTTGGAGAACTATATTTTAAGTTTAGGTGAAAATGATAGAGTGAATGAGTACATACAAATCACTTTAAGGTTATTTCATGCTCAGGGTCGACTTAGCCATATTATGACAGGTAACGATATATAGTAACGTGTTAGGTACGTATAAGTTATGATAGAATACAATTGAAAAAGTAGTAAGCAGTAAGATTTTCTTGGATCTATGAAGTTACTGATTATATTAATACGCCATCGTCAGACACGGTCAGTACTGCCCCCTGTCAATGTCATAGCTTTCCATATTTCATGCCGAAGTTAAGGTTATTTTTAATTGTTCATAATTATATTTTATACTCGTATATATTTTAAAAATGTTTACTTGTAACATTTGTGACAGTAATTTGATATTTTTCAAAAAAAAAAAAAGCGAAATTAATGTCACATGTTAATACCCACAAGGCGAACAAAAAACGTCGAATTTGTAGAATTATATGTTTAAATGATTTATGTAAAAAGAAATATATAACCTATGCATCATTACATAAACATTTTACAGGTTAGTTAAGGCTATGTTAGGTTCCACTCCTAGGAGCTGTAAGACCTTACCGTTGGGGCAGTGCTTCAGTAGCTCCCTGTTCTCGAGCCCTACGTGACGTGAATGGGTGCTGAAGCCGAAAAACAGCTCAAAATGGTCGGTGGGGGCACTGATGGGGTGGGTCACTTATGCTGATAACGTGACACCAATAAATTCCAGTTTCAAGAACACTATGCCCAGTTAACAAAAGCAAACCGACAATTCCGACCCAGAAAGGGAGGGCGAATGGCGAGTTCCCGGCGCCATAAAACGGGGACCCATCGGCTAAGGAAAGAAAAACCACGACAGAAAATCAGGATGGAGCGGACCAGTCCAGAAAAAAGCCATCTGTCAAGGTGTTACGCCATCCGTACCGATGGGTAAATGGCCACACATAGCTGGTCTCAAACGGAGCCTCCGGAAAACCCGGCGCCCTTCCGGGGTAAGAAGCCTTATTGGGTATGGGAGCACTACCCCGCTGGACTCATTATTTATTTATCACTCTATTATTGTTTCTCTTTTCTTATTAGCATTGTAATTTATTTTATGTATTTATTTATACATTATGGCTTAATTTTGATTGTTACATATTTAATTTCATTCACTATACCAAACGTAAAAATGTAAAATGTAACATATACAATAAAGAATACCAGGAATCGGCCCCCGCTAAGTTTTAGGAGTGTGGAAGTTGGGATGGGTTCAATTGGCCGCGGTTATGCTAGATAGCGGGTAACCATAACCCGATGCCTCACGGTAAGTGGGTCGACTCCACTTGGAGTCATCAACTCTTCTCTGCTCCGTTGGACCATCTTTTCTGCCCTACTCGTAGGATAAACTATGAACAACCAACACATATTACATTTATGCAGGGGCGATCAGACCTCCGGAAATCTTCCTGACAGACAGGCCTGATGCATTGCGGCATAGCAGACTAAACTATCTTGGGACATACACGAGATGTAATTCCGTATCGTTGCCAGATAACAAAAAAGAAAAGTAAAAGACACAACACTAGACCAATCGCTAAACGACGCGTATATATAAAGAGGAAGTCCCGAAGCTTTCACACCAAAGGAAGCAATGAAAAGGACAAAATCCCTCGCAAAAATGTTGGAGGAGATGATGAAAGAGGTCCCAAATACACACAAGAAAATTAAGGAAATAGTAAAAAAACTAAAAAAGAATGCTTCAGAGTATGAAAGGAACAGCGTTAAAAAATGGCTCGAGAGAAACAGCTACGAACCTATCGATAAAATTACATTCGACATGGATACCCAAACGATGCCGATAACCAAAAAAACGCGGAAATATCCACGCAACAGACCCCTGGCATGTCAACAAGACAGTCAAAACCCTAAAATCCCTGAAAGGGATACATCACTTAGAATCTTATCAAAAGGTGGAAAACCACGCATGGGAACAACAACTTTTCAAGAACACAGAAATAATAGAAGGAAAACTTCTCAACGCGGAGGATAGCATAACCAAAGTGGTGATGATTGAACCGTCCGACCCAGACATAAGCAGAAGCATCCAAAACCTGTACAAAGACAAATTCCCCGAACTGGGCGAAATCAGCAACGGCTTTGAAGTGATCGAAAATACCACAAAATAAGGTCTAAGTAACCCAACGAATTTAGCCATAGGAAAATAATTGGAGTATCGCATGACGGCACTCCTCAAGATGTTTGGAATAAATTAAAAACGATTAGAAGGAAATACCGACAAAAAAATCACCCTTTACTACATAGCAGACATGACAACAGAGAAACTATGCAAAATGAGTGAGACGATATTCCACAAGACAAACTCGAAGGTAGACATTTATACAACGTCCAAGTCAAGCATAGGAAAGGGGACGCACCACATACAGTATGATAATCAGCGAAAGAGGGAAATCATACAAAGAAGTGCTGAGCAAAGTGATGAATATCATGAGAACAAACTCTTCAGTGGAGGCTGTGAAAAGCATAAAAAGCACAAAGGATGGAAAACGACTACTAACCATAGACAAAAACAAGGAGGCCCTCACAAACATCCACAAAGCCCTCAAAAACGATACATCGGGCCTAATGATGAGGCGCCTAGGAATAGACAGGTACGACACACTCCACAGACTCTTGCACCGATGATATAAAATAAGCGATTATAGAAACATTTGGAAGCTGGGAGGAGGACAACAAACTGAGCGAATTGAGACCGTTAAACAACGACAATCTGGCAGCCACAATTACTCTGAAAGCAGAATACGCGGATAAAATGATAGAGCAAGGATACCTACGAGTCGGCATGGTAAAATGCAGGATTAAGAAAAGACTCAACATAAAAAGATGCACGAAATGTTGGTCATATGAGCATAATGCAGACAAATGTGAGGGGCCTGACCGCTCCAAGTATTGCTTCAAATGTGGAAAGAGTGGACATAACTTTAAAGAGTGCAACAACAAGGAATTCTGTCCGATTTGTAATGAAAAAGGACACAAGAAAGGACACAAGACAGGACCCATGAAATGCCTAAAACAGGCGAGAATAGAGGAAAAACAGAAAACCCAAAACAAGATATACAGAAACATGAAGACAAACAAGGAAAAAGACGGTCCCAAAACCCCAGAATAACACCTCGGATGAAGTCTTCACGACGGACCAATACACCGAATTCAACAAACTTATTGACGAGGCATGTGCCACGGTGGAAGAAATGGACACCCTAGCCAAGTCACCATCACATCTACCGAACTAAATGCTAATTGTACACACACTCACATGTTTACTAACATAAAAGTAAAACAAGCAAACGCAAATCGGTCTAGAGCCGATTACGATATCCTACAGGTGACGGCAGCAGAACACGAAGTAGACACAGTGATAGTGAGTGAACTCAACAAGAACCTTGTAAGAGGGAACCAATGGGTTAAGGACAACAATGTAGACATGGCGGTACAAATTAGGAACAGAAATTTTGAGGTAAGGAAAGTATGTAAAAGAGACGGGTGGCTGGCCTTGCAGCTAAAGAGCTGTAAACTGGTCTGCGTATACGTCTCTCATAATTTAGAAAAAGGGAATACGAAACGAAAATAGACAGCACTATGGATTTCTTTAATTCACTCAAAGAAGAGTTCATCATCGCAGGGGACATGAACGGTAAGTCACCACATTGGGGTTCCCCAATCTCCGACGCCAGAGGGGAATGTATTACGGACTGGTTCGCAGGAATGGACATAGTAGAGATCAACACAGGAGTCATCCCAACCTTTCAAAGGGGAGACAGCTACTCGTTCATCGACATCACGGGTGCGACGCCAAAAATATAAAAAAAATCAAAGAATGAAAGGTCATGGACATCGAGAATATGAGCGACTACAGACTAATTTACTTCCAATTAGGCGAAATAGGCGAAAGAGTGAGAAAGATTGAGAAAAGGCAGACATTAATAGTAGACTGGGAGATATTCGGTAGAAGCATCGAAAGGAGGATTGCAGGACAAAACGGCCAAAAAACATTTGACGAAGTCGCTAATATGTGTTACGTGCACATTTTATCTTGGCCATAGTTTTCCAATAAAAGAGAATAAGAGATCACAATAGTAATATTGGTTTTCTATCCATCCGAGTTGCTAAACTTACAAATAAAAAACGATTATTATATTATCATTAACTATTTAGAAATATAAACCGTTACAATGGATTTGATTCTATAATTCTTCGATTCGCATTGTAGGTATTTACATTTAAAGTTGAAGTTGTAATCCTAAAAATAACAGAATTTATAAGCCAAAATATTTTTGGAATATAATTATTTACCCTATTAAAATATTTTAGAGGAAAAATATTTATTATTTTCTATTTGTTTATTTTTGTCATGTCGTTCGCTTGTAGGCCTTTATTTATATAGTTATTTATTTATTTAGTGATTTAGTCACTTAATTAAGTATTTTGTCAATTAACTTGCCCCTTTAAGGATCAATCAATTTTGTGGATGTATATCGACCCAATTAGAGCTCTCGATTTCCTACCGATATTCAGTTTACCTATCAGAGAACAACAGGCTAGGAATTCAATCTGCAGCCCCTTCTGAGGCTTTGTCCTCCTGGAGCCATCAACCATCATTTTAGAGTCCTGAAATATATCCAGTTTTGGAAGCGAGACAAGTAGAATCAGTAAGACGAAATAGCATCCAGCCTACAAGTAAGGACTATCTTTCTCCTATTTTATACTACAGTGGAAATAGTAGATACTCAGCACTCATAACTTGCTACCTAAGATAAATATAAAATATCGGATACAATTCAATCATATCTAAACTTACTAGCTAAAATTAATATAGTTGCCACCCTTTCTATCAATAGAACTACCAACGGGAAAACGTTGCACGGGAAATCATGGAACAAAAGGAGCAGGAGTAAAGAGATGCACAAGCCCAGGAAAGGGAATGATAAAAAACAAATCCTTAGCATCACGACGCATGTCGACGAGACGATCCCCCGATGCTAGAGGAGGAGGAGGGAGGAGTTTTTTAGTGGCTATTTGAACACAGGAGCCCCACAATACCCAGCCGGACATCAAGCAGGGTGTGCGTAAACGTATTTTTCCTCCCAAAAAAGGAGGACCTTATGATCGAGGTGGACATAGCTCTCTTGTTTGGGCCTGGCTGGAGGAAAAGGGCCTGGAAAGCGCTCTGGAAAAGACTGAAGCCCTCATAGTCAAGGGTCCTAGAAAAAGGGAAGACTTTGTTTTCACGGTAAGGGGAAATGAAATAAGACCCAAAAAGGTGGTGAAATATCTAGGTGTTCATGTGGACAAAAAACTAACTTTCAGCGAGCACGTTAGCAAGAATTCTACTGAATGTAAGACGACCCGGATATATATTATATGGTAGTGGCTTCGATTGTGCTGTACGCAGCGCCAGTTTGTGAAGAAATACAGGGTCATGCTGATCATGATGCAAAGAAGAATGCTCATCCGGGTTGCCAGTGCCTACAGAACACTATCTGCAGAGGCGCAGAGGCAGTAATTGCGGGGATACCGCCAATAGACGAAAAGGCAAGAGAGAGGTGCAGACTGTCTCTGCAGGAAGAAACCACTGATGCAATAAAGAAAGGGAGGGAGGCTACAATCCAAAGATGGCAGAGTAGATGGGAGCAGCAGGCAGCAGTAGCGCGGTGGACCAAAACTGTAATATCAAACATAAGAGAATAGCTGGAATACATAGAAGGACCAATTTCTATATCACGTTTTAAGAAATACACCCGAAGAATCGGGAAAACATATTGGAAGACTGCTACTATCGCGGAGCTGCAGACGACGTAGAGCACACAATCAGCCAGGTCGGAGGTACCGAGAATGGCCCTAGAGTTGAGTGTAGGGGAAAGACTGAATGTAAGAAGAGTGGTGAGGTGGATGATGGCCAACAAGGGAAATCGGGAGCAGGGAGAGAAGTTCCTTATAAACGTAATGAAAAAAAAAAAAAAAAGCAGAAGGGGACAGAAGAATACGTTAGGAACGAGCCATTGCTCGACGTAAATGTCTTGAAAGACGGTCCCGGGCTTTAGGGAGAACAGGGTGCTTTTTAGTTAGTAGACGTAGGGGGTAGTCTCACACTATCGGGGAAGGAATGATCCGGTAACCGATATGCATAAAGCATTTCCACCCGAAAAAGAAATAGGTTAAGTTTTTATAAAAGAAGAAATATATGAATTTAAAACTAAGAGGGATGAGTTTAAAAGTAGCAGTGCCAGTGTAGTTCAAACCGAGTTCACGGGGAATCTTATAGCAGCAAAAGAAATCATCAGAAATAATATCACTGGTAGATATATACTTATCTATACAAATAGCAGACAAGCACTACTCACTAAGGACAAAACACGAAATTATTCAGGGTTAGTACTAGAATGTCACGAAACTAAGAGGTGCCCATCTACTTAGTGACGCCTAAGTGCAGAATTATAACTTTTAAAAACAATTAGGTTAATTATGGTAAGTACCATACATTATATTTTTCATTAAAGGATTTTATATTTTTAACTTTTTTAAGTTATATTTTTGTTTTTTCGTGAGTCGACACGTTTTGAATAAATAAGTTTCTGTAAAATATATGTTTTTTATTTTATTATTCAAAACGTTCGTCTGATCCGTCCTACCTATCCGATTATCCATTAAAAGGTAGAAATATTTTAGCTATGCAACATTAAAATTGAAGACATTACAGCAAAACCGAGGTACCTGCAATTTTTGGCCAAATGGAGCACGAATTGCTAAAGATTATTAATATTGTCGTTTGGGTCAAAAGTGATACATCTACTTTACTTAGATCTGGTTCTGCACAATTTTTCCCCTTTTTTTCTCCTTTATTTCATACGAAACATTTGGTGCAATAAGAAGGCAACTGTGCAGATATTATCGTGTATTGTTGGTAGCATAAACGAGGTAGATGTCAGATGCCGCCTTTTTGCACCAGAGAGTTGACATATTTGTTATTGAAGCTATGAGAAAGCGAGTTGGAGATCGAAAAATTGGTAATGATTGCAAATGCAAATATGGATGTTTTACCAAAGTCAGTGTCGAGAATAGAAATGCAATTTTAGAGAATTTCAACAAATTGGGCGCAGATGCTAGACAAAATGAATAGCTCTCTGGATTAATTACATGTCAGGCAACTCAACGGAGAAAACCCAATGCTGTGAAAAACCGTCTTATGGCAAATACTTATCATGTGAGCTTAACATGTCTGTTAAATTCATTTCATAAAAATATAATTTTATTTTTTAGGTGCGCATTGATATTGAAAAGTATAAGGTCTGCAAGAAAGCATTTGTAGCCTTCCATGGCATTACCAAAAAAAAAAAAGGATGGAGCTTATAGCAAGTCATGTCGGTTTTAAAGGGGCAATGTCCCCAAGACTCAAGTGGACGACATGGAAACAGACCAAACATTATTTTTGCTGATTTACTTACTCAAATAGATACCCATATCAAACATTTTCCAAGAACTTCTCACTACAGCAGAGCTAAATGTCAAAAAAATGCACAAGATGTATCTTGAAACCTACAAACCTCAAGTTCACAAAAGTATTTTAAGTACCCGTCCGAGTACTGAAGGTGAAAGACTTATGCCAAAAGTTTGTTATGAATTTTGTTTTATCGATATTTGAAAGCAAACTATAGCAACTACTCGTTTGGGAATCCTCGTAGTGACACGTTGCAAAAATATGACGACTTTAAAAACTAAATTAAAAACAGAAACTTATCCAATGAAGAAAGCCACATTATTGAAAATGAGAAGAAGGTGCATCTTAAAAAAGCTGAGGTTTCTTATGAAGACATGAAAGCAAAAATGGAATTAGCAAGAAATGGCCCTGAAGTTGAACTTTTATTTTTTTTATTAACAACAAAATGCTCCATTACCGAAACTTCCCTCAAGCAGCTGTGGATGTTTAACTTTTGCATATACTCAGGTAAAAACCAACAAGCAATATTTAAATGTATTATGAAACCATAGGTAAAAAGACTCCAAATGAATTTGTCAGTTATCTGTACATTGAACAAAAGCTGGGAACGATGTGATAACCATATATATTTTTCCGACAACTGCACAGCACAAAATAAAAATTTCACAATGGTC